ATTGACGAAGACCACTTAGATAGGACTCACAGCTTAAAGGGCGATCCCTCTTCTTTTTGCGAATTTTTGAATGAGAATCCTTGAAACATTGAAATTATCCTGATTTAATAAACAATGGAACCTTAAAGAAACTTACAGGGTCCATTTCTGTTTTGCTTTCAGAGCCGGACTGCTGCTGGTTCTGCATTGATTTGACATTCATAGAAGCTAAGCTTGCTACAGTACGCAGGTCTGGAACACTTAAGAGTGTCGACGGCCCGAGACCTAGCGCGGACGAGGTTGATGGAGTTTTGTTAGTTAGTCGCAGCTGAAAGATTCAAAAAGGTGACTGGTAAATCAACAAAACATTTTCATTTCTAAAATTAGTTGATCAAATTTTAAAAAAAAACTCTTGATAAGAACGGCAAACGCACATCTTCTTCATCACATCCACTACCATTCTTATTAGTTTCCAAGGATGATCTATTGCTGAAGTTGTTTGGACAGAATCCTAGCGGTAACGTCACGACAACGGGTAATGATGTATTTGTGACGCTCAAAGCTCTATAATCATATCAAAAATTTTGAGATTAATGAATTTCGTCTCAGGATTTCTTGAAATTTTCAGAATGTGAGGTAGGCACAATAACTACGGATATTTTATGCCACCGAATTTTGTGATGCGTTTTATCAATCTGTAGTGTGCAATTACACTATGTGCATGCGAATCTACTCATTCGATACAAAATAACAAACGGTATGAGCTCTAATTTCAAAAAAGGCTTTCATTCTCCACGTGTATAATAATGGTAGGAGATTTATCGAAGAAAAATTTAATAAAAAGAATCTTTGAAAATCTGAGTCCGCAATAAAAAAAAATCCTTGAGCACATTTACATATCTATCTACAATTCAGTCTTACCTACCTTTTAATAGCCTGATCTAATTCGTTCATTGGCAGCGGTGTTGGAGTTGCTAACGAACTCGGACTCTCGCTCTCGTTATCAACAATCGTTAGACGATCCTCACCTAATTCCGGCTTCACTTCAGCCGTACTGCTCTAGAAATACAACGCTCCTTTAGTAGACCATTTAAAAAATTCCTTTTCGCTTTTTGTGTAAAACTGATTGAATTCTGTAAATGTGACTGGTAAGTAATCAATTGACAGATATTTTATAGTAAGATTTTTCTTTTCCATCGTCACTTTGTTGATTTTTGAGCTATGTGGACGCTAAAACCCCTTTTTTCGATAACAGTACGAAGATATAAGGACAGCCAAATTGTGAAGTGATCGGGTA